TGAAAATAATCTGTCAACATACACTAAAAAGCTTCAGCTTCATACGCATATCTTATACAATACTTTACAATAGCAAACAACGTTTGAATTATTTAAATATGTAATTACAATTAGTTCCGTCTCCAGTAGACTCTTGGCGCATGCGTAAGCGCGATGCTCAGCGGCGCGACGCGTTGGCGGGAGAGGAGGCTAGTCTCTTACTCCGCGGATCTTGCCACTCAACCTGTGCGCTGATTGGTCAATTTTTCAGTTTTTAATAACGAAATGTGGCTAAACTACTGATCCCATTGAAAAATGCTACAGAACTACTCACTTTGATTTTTTGTAATCTATCCAGCGGTGTAGAGGTCTTCAAGGTATTTTTTAACACCTTATATGTATAAAGCGTAAAAACGTCCATCCGTGTCACTTTTCAACTTGAGAACTACTAGGGACACGCTCTATCATAGCCGACTCTAGTACTAGCCATGCTGAACAACGTGGCAACACCGCTCAAGTGACAATCGGGGGAGTCCTATTTTCAAAAACAGAGTCCTGTGCTCGCAATTGTAATTAACGTCTTTTTTAATTAAAAGCTGTAGTAATATACACTATTTTGTGTTAATTATGTATAAACAATATATAAACGTTGCAACTATGGCAAATAGAAGTGATGTGGTAGTATAAAATTGTTATAAATGTGATATATATTTTGTGTACTCTCAAAGTAGTTTGGTGTTGTGAAGCATGATATTTGAAATATTTACAGTGGTTTCAAGAAAATTTAGGTATGAAGCAAAATGAAACCATCTTTGGATCAAATTGAAACATTTAAGAATTGATAAACGTGTATATAAGTTAATAAAAACCTTGAAACAAGCGAAATTATTGGAACGAAACCAAAGAGGTTATGTGAAGTCCAGAGAGTAGTCGGGAGTCTGACGACGTTGATTGGCTGAGAGTCTGGGAGTCCGGGAGGCAGATAGAGTAGGGTAGGTGTTGATATATTCAGACCGGATTCCCGCGGTGTTTCCATTTTTACTTCAGCACGGTTAGTACTATACTCTGTTCAACGAGACGTGTCACCAAGTCAAAACACACAACTCACGTGATCGGCTCTACGACTGCGGTCATTGGCTGCCACATGCTACAACTCAGGGCCAAGTTATGGTGGTTCATTGCCGAGGGCCTTTGTATGCAGGGTCAGGCAGAATCATAAATGATTTGGGGATCCGGAACCCGTAAGTCGGCCCTGTCCTGTTCACGTGCTTGGTGACTCGTCTCGTTGAACGGAGTATAGAATCGGCTGTGGCTCTATACGTCGTTAGAAAGATCTCGCTGAGACTAGCTGAAAACCGTTGTGTCTGTGCGTCTCTGTGGTCGGAATCAAAAGTTACGGACGTTTCAATTTTTCTATAGAATGTCTATGGGTCGCACATTTTAGCTGCGCGCGCATTCCCTCAACGATACGTAATGTGTCGGCACGGGCACTAAACTCGGGAGAAGTAAAAAAGAATAGCGAATGAAAAAGAGGAAGAAGCGATCAAGGTTTGATCTTTGCCGATTGTCAGGATCGCGGCTTCTCTTTATTCGGACACGGGCTCTAGATATGCGAGGCACGAGCGGGTTATACCTAGTATATACAAGGTGTTCGACAACAGGTGAGCAAAATTTTAAGGGGTGATTCTAGGGATCAAAATAAGACGAAAATCAAGAATAATAAAATAGTGTTTGCAGCTTTGTTTTCCAGTAGGTAACGTTTAAAAATTCCAGTAAAAAGCGCCTGAAACCTGTAACCTGCCCAGCACCAACGTCTAAATATCAGGTCTGCAGGGGTCGGTACAGTTATAACCAAGAATCGAAGCCGAATGCTGCAATACCGAGAAACAGAATAGCACGAGGTAAATTTCAACTATTCAACGATTCTTGGTTGACTGTACCTTCCCCTGCTGACCTGACATTCAGTCGTCGGTGCTGGGCGGGTTGCAGGTTTCAGGCGCTTTTTACTCGAATTTTTAAACGTTAATTACTGGAAAACAAAGCCGCAAACGCTATTTCGTTATTCTTGATTCTCATCTTATTTTGAAACCTACAATTACCCCTTAAAATTTTGCCCACCTGTTGTCGAACATCCTGTATGTATGTATACATTGTATATGTATACACTCAATGCATAAATTTTGGACACGTGTATTCTTAAAGTAAAAATTTGTATTTTAAAATTTTTTGCTTTTCTTTGTCGGATATTATTAGAATATACATAAAAAAAGTCAATAATTCTGTGTGTCCTAAAGTAAAGTTCAGCCCAATTTACTATTTTATATTACTAAAACTACCCATTTTCTTCTACTAAATAACTCTAATCGTACCCACACAGTATTCAAAATATTTAGAAAGACCCGTCACAAAAGGGTTGAAAATTTATCAAGAAAAGCTACTAGATCGATAAATGAACGTTTGAGCGGTGAGATGCATTTTGTTCCAAGTCGATATCTCGTTTCGTTATCGAGATACGAGACGGCAAAGTACAGTGTCTGAAACGCTACGAACATGAATGGCGGTCGAATTCCAGGAAATGGTGTGACCTACTTTCTTTTCTAGAAATACGCACGTCGCCTAGTAGTAATAGTATGTAATAGCAAAGAAAGAAGAAAAATGAAGACACGCTGACTCAGGGGCTGTGAGTGACCAGCAGCGCAAGCGTGGGGTAGGTCAGTGGTGAATGAACGCGAATGAAACGTATAGTACATATGTATGTGTACCTATGTATGTAGAGGAATATTCAAAATTACACTCTGCTTTAAGCGATGATATCTCCAGAACGGAAAATCGTATCGATATGAAACAAAAGCCATTTTCAGGAGAACGTTTCAATGTTCATGACAGCAATAAATGGTATTGCAATCTGATGTTATATGCCGAAGTTATAAAGGGATTAAGGCATAAGAATTTCATTAGACAAATTGAAGAAGAAATTGATTGTATAATTTATAATTTATATAGTGTCTCAAAAATGTTATTAAGGAGGGGTATTGAAATAGAAAGCAAATCGACAAGGAACTGTCCGGTCGAAACATTCCTGTCGCGATAATGATCCTCGAAAGCTTGACAGAAATGACGTGAAACGTTTCTCGAGTGCAACCAACATTTCTGACAAACAAATATTCAATCTAGCCGTCACTTTAGGACAAGTCCACGGAGAATGGTTCGTGTCAAAACAACTCGACAGACTTATCAAGCTTTGAACAACGTCTTTGGTACAAAGTATTGACCTGCTCCAAATCGTTGAGGAGCTTCGATTTCAATTTGATCGCGCTGTTTTATCTTTTCTCTGTCAATTAGTTGCTTCTGATTTCAAATGATTATTTCAACTGAAATTATAGTACTATATTTATAAATATCCCGAGATTGTATACATATATGATCAAAATATGAATTTATTCACACCAGAATGAGGATGCATTAATTTTAATTGTAATTTGGATCAGATTTCCGAAATTGGTTATCAATGAACGATGGTGAAATTAATACTACATATCCTAGGGGTATGCTAAATAAAATTATCGAATTGACAATTTTATTTCTATCACTTTAAAATTATCCCAATAGAAACAAAATGTTAATTTCAACGCTTCAATGTAGTCATTGAAATTCTTTAAATTCGAAAATAAATGAAAAATCAGGTAATTGTTTAATTTAATGTCCCTTGTATTGAAATTATTTTAATTGAATTTTTGAAATTGGTTAAAATCAGTTCGAAAATAATAAGATATCTTATCGACGCTGTTCGATGATCGAAAAGCCGCGTTCCGTAGCGGTAGGCGCGTGATTTTCACAGGGGAAGTTGTTAGAATGAAATTCACTTACCTTGCCAGGTCCCCGAAGAGAGAGCCTGATCGAAAGTTGCCGTAACAATGGGAGATAATTAATGAAAGATGAGACACGGCCTCGGAATGAGGCGCGAACTTTGCCCGTCGTTCGACCCACTTCCCGTTCAGACAATTTGTCAATGTAACCGGGATTTTTCGATCGTTGTATCCCGGAATCTCGTCCCACGGGCTTTGCACTCGATAAAGAAACTGCAGGAATCGTCTGTTTCTTCGAATAATTATTCGAACGTCCGCAGAAACGGTCCTGTTCGTTAATTCGTGTCACCGTCATCTATATGCGGTTCTTTATAACCTGAATACAATTTTCATTAAACTTTATTTTAAAAGAAATTCTTACTACATTAAGTAGTTAATAACTTTTTAATTCAAATATGTGTTTGATATGTAATATGACTTGGGAATTTTTAATTTTGCAAAATTTCAACTTTCTTTTGTGTTTTTCCTTAAAAACTGTTATTGTAGAAATATTAATTAAACTTATCTGAAAATTTCAAGATTTCTTTCCCTAGTAATCCTAAATTTTATTTTAAAAATTAAATACATCTGTTTGAAAGAGCTATTTTATTAAAAAATTTCAATATTAAGTACAAGTATTTTATTTTTAACCAATTACACTATCACCATTTGAACCTTGAATTCGACTTATTTCGTTGAATAATTATTCGAAGAAACAAAAATTGAAGCAAGGCAAGGAATTAGTGGCAGCTCGTCAGAATTTATACATATAGTGGCAAGGATGCAGTGGTAAAAATAAAAGATCAATTGAAAAAATTATACGATTAATAAAACTAAAGGTAATTATAAATCAAATCTGTAACTTTAATACTAGCGATAACATTGGCGTAACTTGGACCTTCTTCTGGAGCAATTCCCTTAAAAATTTTGAAATTTTGAAATTTTGAAATTTTTTGGGTGTGGAATTCTGAAATTTGTGAACCTTAAAATTTTAGAATGGTAAAGGTTTACATTTTTGAGAAGGAACTAGACAAAATTTTAAAAAAATCTAGGACTATCTTGGTTCCTACCTAGTTACGGTAATGAGCGGTAATAAGATGTAGCAACTACCATCCTAAAGTCTCTTTATGGACGAGCCGCCACTGCAAAGAAACACAAATCTGTAACAACGTCTAGTACAATATAACGTTGCGTTTATTATTATCGTTATTCATTAACCACAATCGTTAAACGTTCACTTTCGTATGATACAACGTTAGTCTCTATACACACTCTTTTCTCTTATCATCTCCCTAAATGTCCTCTTTTAATTTGCTTACACCTATTTTCAATGGTAGCTTCATTTTACGTGTCCTTTCTTTTAGTCGTCTTGTGTTTATATACAAAAGCGCCGGATCATCCGTTCATCGTTCATCTAAGCTACGAACAACCCAATTTGTTTTTTTCGCGACTGGTTGATCTAGCACACGATTTTATTTTTTATTTTCATTCTCACGCATCTTCATTCCCTAAACATCGAGCTATGTTTCACTCGTTCCGCTTAGAGAACATCGTTTCGTGAATTCTTTTCTTCAACGTGTCCCGTTTTACGTGTATTGGCTACAAAATAATTGACAAAAACCTGTCAAGTAAGTCGATCATTTATTCTCTCGTTTCAGCTCCATCAACACATAATTTCACCGTTTCGTCTGCAAGCGGAACGAGCGTGATTCTTTTTGCTAACAACGACAGGCACACGATTTTTTAACCCTTTCGCCACGAATTGTTGCTGTAAAGAATATTCATTCAATTTCAAGTAGACGTCTATTAAGCTGTTCTGACGATGAGTTGTTTTTAGTGCTTTTTATTTATATGTACTGTACGGAGCTGACGAGTTTGCCGAGTTGGGCGGACTGCGAGAATTTAAGACGTTCGCTCGCTCCACCTATCCTCACTTTTACGTTCTCGTAGACAGATGCACTGTCATAGTCGTAGGATAGTGCTTCCATTAGGTACACATCTGATGATGTTTAAGGTAAGTAAAAAAATTCATGTCTACGCCAATGCCTTGAACCGCTCGCTCAGTGCAGTTGCATCTCGCTCACTTTCGATACCTCGTTTTCACTTTCCTTATCTTACATCGAATTAGTAGCTGTGATCCTATCCGCCAATACCGAAAATACGTGTAACAGAAGGTCACTTAAAAGCAGGAGTGGGTCAGCAACCAATCATTACGCAGACCGCCCAACTCGGCAAACTCGTCAGCTCTGCACAGTACATACTGTCGAGAGATGAAAAGAATATTAGGAAAAGGAATGCGGGTACGATTGGTCAGAGTCGGTACGTCACCCCTCACGCACACGCATTATAAATCGTCGGGTGTTATTAAACGTGAGGATCAAATGTGGTGATAGGGCGGAGCGTGCGAAGTGCTCCCTTTGCCCCTGTGCCGTCCCGCTAATATTCTTTCCATCTCTACACTGTACCTCGTGTACCTACAATTTTTTGTAAAGAATTTTATTAATTTTATTAATGAGTAAGTAAAAAGGTTACCTCAAAAATGGATGACAGATTCCAGTGGAAATTTGTATACCTATGTCACTCAAACGCGACTGACGTGGAACTGAAAGTGTTAATCATAATCAATAAGTTCATCTATAAGAAAGTATACTGCAATTTTAATCGTAGAATAATAATTGAAAATTTTTATTTATGGCCGATAGTGTAAGTACGTATAGTTTTCTCGATAACGATTAATCTTTATCCGTGATGAAAGGGTTGTATAAAAAATATTACAGCTAAAGAAGAGACGAAACTATTCTCCAGTGAATGATTTACAGGCAGACGGAAACAAAAGAATTTCAAACTGAATGAATCTCAGAACGAACGTGTCAGTGTCGATTAAACTAGTCGTAACTTACAGGAGACACGCTCAATCGAGCTTGTACAGGTCGCTCATCGAGACAAACGTGCCTCAAAATATTTCCATTCGCCGGTACATTTGCTCTCGATCCTGGCCACCCGAGGAAAAGGACGACAGGAACGATTTCCTGAACGTGTTCCAGCGACAAACACAAATTTCTCTCACCTTCGAACACACTTATCATCCCCGTTCGAGAAACCCTGAAATCCTGTGTCATTCCAACATTCGATATCATTTTTTCTTCGAAATTTTCCAGCAATTCAATCTGCTTGGAATTTTCAATAATTTTGTTACTTATTCAATCATTTGCAATGTCACACTTACGATTAATATTTTGACTATGGCTGCCAGTGTAGCTGTCAATTGCGCTATAAAAATTAGCAATTTTAATAATTTTAACAATGTTAGAAAGTTAGGAATTAGTAATTGACGGAAATTTTTGAATGAAAAATTATTAAAATTAGCAACTCTGCAGCGCAGCAGAAATGAAATATTTAAAAAATGTTTGAAGGATCATTGAAAAATCGAAAATCTGTCACTGGGCGACTAATCGTGGCTGCTCTCGCGTTAAAGCCTATCCCGTCTGCTTTTCTTTTTCTGTGCCATCATCTCTTTGAAGATGATCGCGTGAGCCTGTCGCGTTGGAAGCTGAAAACGTCTCTGCTCCACATAGCAGCGGGCCAATTCAGACGACAACGTTGTGCGAAACGGATCCATCGTCTTGCCACGTGTTGGCTGGAAAGAAAAAGTCATCTTTTCAGATTCTCATCGAGACAATCCCTTCGCTAAATGGTAAGAAATTAAGGCTTCTCGAGCCTGGATAATGTCCTGGGTTACCTCTATAGTGCATGTCCTGGGCCATCGATGGACATTTTGCATCTGGCCGCTGTTCACACAAACATAAAATAAAATTCCAATTAATTTTCTAAATAAGCTACAAATTTTAACATTGTACAAGGTGTTCCATAAGTTTTAAAAATTAAATTCGTGGACTACGCATTTTTTTAAACAGGATTATTATAAATTAAGCTTCATCCGGATGAAAGATGTTTTATTATACTTTTAGTAATTCTTGGCATTTTCTGTGATAAAAAATTCTAAAATTATATTTTGAGGAGCAGTTTAGACGAAACTTATACAAATCTAGTAAGACTAATGATCAGATCATATTGAAATTTTGATTATTATTAAAAATTGCAATATTTAATTTTCAATTTTGGAGTTTCAAGCTTTCCACTTGCTATTATTGATATAATATTTTTTTATTATATTTTTCTCCAATTTTTAGGAACGATATAACATGCTTGTTCGAAGTTCATCCAAGGAACCAGAAGCGTAATCGTATTAACCAATGAAAAATTAGCGTTTCCGGAAGCGGAAGGAGATAATAGAATACGGCAATTCACCTTGTGAAAATCGATGTTTGTCCGTATAGTCCTGTAATGAAGATCCTGCAGCGGCCTCGAATTGTTTCCCAGGGGTGCTTTCGGTGTGCTCGCCGGACCTTGCATTAGTCTCCTTAGTGCGTAAAGCTGGAAATGGGATTAGGATTACGATGTAACGATGCCGTTCCCTCGTTCAATATTTAACCGTAAAGCAGAGCTTGTTAAGTAATGGCATGGGGAAAGGAACGAGATAAGGAACAACGAACTGACGTTACATAAAGTGGATCTTGAAAGTAATGCACTCAGGATATCAATGTCAATGGCTGATATCTTCTATAATTATACATTATTTGCTCATAGATTCAACCCCACTGGCGTAACTTGGACTTTTATTCGAGGTGGCCTACGTTCTTTATTTTTAGAATTTTGAAAATTTGAAATGATGAATTTTGAAATTTTTAGTATCTGGAATCTTAAAATTTCAGAATAGTAAAAGTTCTCATTGTTGGAAGGGGTTCATTTCAGATTTTCAACAGGATCAGGTCCACTTCTGTGACTTCTATCTACTTACGCCAATGGATTTAAGTATAATTATACTTCATTGATAAAATTCAAAGCACCTTGACGCGGGAAAATTTCGGAAAAGTTCAGGAAACATTCACTTGCTGAATGAATAAGTAAGTTAATTTTCCACTATGGTGTGCTTTGTTTAAGGACACAGACTCCGACGTCTGCTCCAAGGTAAGCGCCGTTGGAAAGAATCGGGTTTTAGTGAAAACACATGATTGAGAAATTGGATATTTGACGGTGTGCCATCTAACGTCATTATGCAGAATAAAAAACGAAAGTGAGAAGGCATAGTTGGCAAATCACATCATTTGAGAGTTCTGTCGCGCATGTTGACGCATCTGTTACAATTTCGACCATCAGCAAAATGAATAGGCTCGAGCTGAGATTTTGATTCCTGCTGGACACAGAAAAGGACAGCGTGAGAGAAAGAAAAGAAGGGTTAAAAATGAAACAATACACAAATGTGTACACCCATAAAACGTGTAGACATAGAAATTACAAAACGTCCATACTATTTTTCTCAACGTATGGTGTTTATTAGCGTTCAAACGGACCAGACCATCCTGTGGTGAAGTCTATCCGTGTGTGCTGTATCCGCGGAAATTTCTGCAGTTATCGAGACGAAGAATGTAATCTACGAAATCGAGTGTCTCTCTCACGCATGGCGTACAGGTACATGCTTTCTGCTATTTGTGTGAATGCACGCATACAGGTCATGGCATAAGGAGTCTGTGCCCTTAAAGGTATTATGAAGCTCTAATTATTAGAAATACTAATGGTTAATTTTTAAATTTCAAATCTACTACCTTAGTATAATAGTAAAGTTATTCAAAACAATATTTCTCTATTATTTTCTATTAATTATTCGATAGAATTATATCTAATTTGTAGGGGTGTACGGGTATCCAAGCCTCGGGTCGGGTCGGATCGGGTCGGGTCGGGTAGGGCGGAATCCCGAAAGTTTGCGTTCAGCACGTAATAATTTTCGGGTACCCGTAATTTCAGAACCTGAAATATCAACTTTATAATCGAACTTGCCTCGGGACCCGAAATTCAATTCGGAGCATGACTTTTTAGACTTATTCTAAATTTGTTGAGTTTGAAAGTGTTTTTTCATATGTTATCGTAAATAATTGAGTATAATTGAATTTCGAGTCTCGAGTCGAGTTCGATATTTGGGTTCCAAAAGTATGGGTTTCTCGGCGAATTTACATATGTCCTGGACAAATTTTTGGAGTCCCGGCCGAATTCGAGAAAAAAATTCCCGATCCGAATCTTTGAGTACCTGGTACATCCCTATTAATTTGTGGTATCGGTTAATGGTAACACTCGTGGCATTCAACATCTTAATAGACAATAATAAATAATAAATTATTCTCAATTATTGTGTCAGATCAATATATTTTACATAGGATGTTTGGTAAAAAGAAAAAAAAAAGAAATAGCAAATTTGATAGAACCAAGTACTTATTGTTAGATAGAGTTACAGTCACCTCTCGTGCTGTTACGTAGATGGGTTTGTTGAGGATCAACCATACGGCCGTTTCCCAACAACCCGGATGAGTCGTGCTACCCTCATAAGTCATGTAAGCGTTCGTGTCCGGAAGCAGACTTTTCAGAGACAGATGACGAACCGGTGCAGCATCGCCTGCACAGAAATACCAATCTTTTGTTAGCACTGACGTTTATCTCGTTGACAATCAAAATTCTACGAAATTCATACGGTACATAGAACATACAGAGAGAAATATTGGCTGGAATGAAGACAAAACAATATTTGTAGAATCTTAAAATATTCCAACCCTTGACCTATTAACTTCTAGCTTTGTAGTTTAAATTGAAAGATCAATGTAGGTGAATAGTATTTATTGAGTTTAAAACTTTGAATTATAAAAGACAGGCTCTGAATAATTAAATTTTTATTTATTTAATGTTTGCAAAATTGAAAATTAAATATGAAATTTCGATATTTATTATAAATATATTGAAAGTTTATTTATGTTGGTATGTTTAACTCCTTCGAATTTTTCTATTGTAAGTTCTAAAATATTTGATTTACAAAATTAAAAGCGAACACAAAAGACACGCTTTCGATTCAAAGTCTTTTTAACTCTTTTTATGGTGGACAGCTAAAGCACTGGAGAAAAGGCGGGACTTGTATCGTACGAATTCGAGAATGTATTTGCATTCTAAACGATCAAAATTCGCCCCGTCCTCTTATTCTATCGGTAGAACGTTGCGTTGCATATTCAAGAACGTTATTTCGAACGCGACAAAATTACTCGATATTCGTTCAGCCGGCTCTTTGAACTTTGACCCGTGAGACTGGCGGCTTGGAAAAAAACAAGCTCGTTCCACGAGCTGTACGGAAAAAGAATTCCGTCACATTGCAATATCTATTTACTCGTACAAACCTAGAGATGTAATGAAAGAAAATTCATTTACACCATTTGCCGTAACGACAACAAAAATCACTTTATAAAAGCTCGCCAAAAAGCTCCTGATAAAAGATAAATAATTATCATAAAAAATGATAAAATTGTGATTTATTAAAAAATATGTAATTTACTTCATTTGTAACATGATATAGATAGTTTTATTTTTGCTTAATATTTTACAAAAAATAGCCCGAGAGTCCCCGATAAAAAGTATAATAAATCAGTGTTATAAAATATCTAACATATGATTCAATTAAAAGAGAGAAATGTTTAGGTCAGTCTAAAGGATTCGCTTAGAGCGGTTTGGCAAACAACGTGTTAATTTAGTAGTACAAAGCAACAAACGATCATTAAAAACCCAGGATTAAGCATTTCTAGTTAGGTACCATCTTTCAATATCCATGAACGCAACAGCTGTCAGAGAAATTCATTTCTTGGTAGAAAACGATCCATATCAACATCCCGAATGACACTCGAACCACTTTTCTCCTCATTGATCTCCTACATAGGGTGAATTATGCGCGTAGAGAACATCAGCTATCACGAGATGCTTAGAATATCAGCGAGCACTCGTTTCGAGTGCTCTGGCGAATGTGTTCGAGCGTATTTCCATTAGTCGTTCGTAACTTCAATGCAAGTACCGATGATTCCTGCATTCGCACCATATAATTTCGCAAAGTTACACGAAATATAAATTTCGCACGAGCAAAAAACAAATCAGTAATTTCTAACACTAGATTATTTTTATATCATTAGTAATGAGATTCGACATTTTTCTTCTTTTGTTTTCTTTTATTAATCATTCAATTATATTAAATTTAAAGTGCATAGCAATTAAAATGTTAATAATTACTACTTTGGTCAAATACAAATTCAACAATTCATGTGGTTTTGCTTTTGTTTCTCTCCTTTTTTAAATATTCATTTACCTTAAAAGTTTAAATTATGAGTAGAGGAGTGTGGAGGTCAAACCGAATACCCGCTTCTATTTCATACTTTCTATCTAAAGTGTAAATATCATTTACTTATATAAATTTATATAAATAATAATAACTTATATAAATAAGTGTTACATGTATACATATAATAATAAAATGTTTTTCTTATAGGAACTAATTTCTGTAAAAAAACTTACCACCTGTTCCTAGCTATGGGGATATAATAATTTTTACAGGTAAGTCAAAATTGTAATTATATTATAATATTACTGAATATGTTATGAGATTAAATAATTTTAACTAGTAAGTTTATGCGATTTCGTAAGAGATAAACAGCTTTGCAGTTCAAGATTTTATTTATGACTTTTGTTTCTTAAATAACTTGAAATAAATCAAAGAACAATGAATTAAAACTGTTCATTAATATATTTACCTTTTAAATAATTAAGATAAATTAATGTGAATAAGTTAAATTAATATAAGCTAAAATATTCTAATACTTGTAAAAATCATGTAAAATAACTTCTTTATTAATACTTTAATAATAGAAATAATGGTTTTATAGTTAAATAGTTATATAGTTAATAGGTACCCGGTTTCATCCACCCTTTTAGGGAAAAACTAAATATATATTTGCATATTTTTGACAAATCTTGTTTTTCTCTGAACCAAATTTTTTTTTTTTAATGGAGCTCTTATTTTCTGATTCTCGGAAGTCTAATTAAGATTTTTAGCGGCGTATAAAGTTCTGCTATTTGGCTCTTTGTTAATAAAGTAACTACATAAAGTATCCGGTTATAGCCCACATTCCTCTATTGCTGTAATATCTAGTATTATTCCAGTATCTAGTAATAAAATATAACGACTGACGTATAATACTCAAAATCCTATAAAATGAAACTTTTCTATCAGAATTAACTTGGATTGAGTACACATTGAACTCGATCCCATCTCCACTCTGTACTTACACTCCATCTCGTTCGGATGATCAAACAACGAGCTCTATCTCACAAATCCTCTCGAATCCCATTGAAAAAGCAGCAAACTCCTTTTGTGTGTACGAAAAACATCAGCCATCACAATGCAAACTATTCGTTCCATTAATCATCGAAGAATCTTCCATTTCCTGCGTCGATTCGCAGACACGTTTGATATATCCTCGTCGTCGAGGGTGTTCCTTATTATTTATCACAAGAGCGTCGAGGAAATCAGAACGTGCGATAAATGAAAATAAAAGCACAGAGAGGAAATACGCATCCAGGATAAATGCTCGCAGGTAGATATAGAAAAAAAAAAATAAAATAAAAAAGCAAACGTCTGAAGAGGGAAGAAGCGAATAAAAGCTCCGCTACTTTCTGCCCTCTAAGCGGACCTGAATGGTGTCCTAAAAGTGTTCCCTCGCGACGGAAGTAGGGAACAAGCCGGATGGCTGAGGCGACCACATTTATCCCTTGTGTCAGGCCGCCACCATTTTCTTGACGCACGCCTCCTTAATGTCACCAGCTCGATGAGAGAAATAGTCGGTCCGGGCCGCGACGTCGCGACCAATACAACTTCTTACGAGCAAAGAAGCCTTTCACACGGACCTGAAGTCTTGAGCATTTGACTTACACCTGGTGTTGATTTTTATTAAGGCTCGATTAATGACGCTACCAGCTTCCCTTTTACGAGCTACATCCGACTTTTAAGATAAAATACCCTCTTGTGTAGGGTTTTCAATAAAGATGGTGTTAGTCGAGGGAGATTGAATTACCGTCTACGTTACTAAGTTAATGAATTATGGAAGAATAATTAACACGTTAACTACCATGGTGGTGGTCGAGATCTCAAATTTTGAATAATCGAATAATTAATAATAAAATTAGGATATCTTAATATTTGAATACTTAGATATTTGGAAACTGGAAATAGATGCAAGAAAATATATTAATATATTTTAATATTTGAAAATTTGGATATTTACATATTTAAATTGCTAGACCAGTGCCGGATTAAGGGAAGGTTTGAGGAGGCTACAGCCCCGAGCCTCACTTCATAAAGGGCCCTATTATAACCTTTCCATTTATTACATGAAAAAGATTCAATGAAATTTCTGTTTATCGTTACCTTTTTTCGTTACGGTAAAATGTTCTTTAATTTTAGTTAGAATAAATTTCAATTTTTGGACCAAGTTTATCAACCAAGGTGCTTTAGAAATAGCTCCGGGGTCTCAGAATTTTTAATTTGGTCCGGACTTAGTTAGACATTTGGAAATTGGAAATAATAGATAAGATAATATCCTCAGATAATATCCATACATATCCTCAGTGCCGGCGTTAGGGTGGGGAACAATCGTTCAGGGCGCTAGATCTGCATGGGGCGCCGCAGCCCGGTGTTCCTAGTATGCGAATATACCGATATTTTCTCATTGTCTTTCTTCTCTATCTACATCTCATATGTAATATTACATATATGCTATATATGCTGCGGCATTTATGTCTACATCTTCCCTGACGCGTTTTTTCAGCCTCTGAATGGGCGCCACGATAATCTTGCCCAGGGCGCCAATATTGCTAACACATATCCTTAATAATTACAATTTTAATATGTCTGACTACATATGTCGATTTCCACTGTGGCGGTTGATGTATTAATAGATAATAAAAGGGTTATGTTATTATTCCATTACAAAACAAATGACGAAAACACCTTCCTTCAACTCGGAATATAATGATGGTCATATTTTATTTTGTATCGAACGTGAAGCTACGAGTTTCTCTGTCGCGAGAAGCGTCGAAGCAGAAAGGGCGCGAGACAAAAAGATGAAGCGAGGAAAAGAGCAGCCCTAGGCAGGTGACAAATAATAATAAAGAGGTGTCAGGGATGGAAAGGAGCGCAGGGTGTGGGGCGGATATCGCGAGAAGAAAGGGTCGCCGGCTTGAAATCCAAATGGAAAGAAGGAGGACAGAGGGTGCTGCCGTGATTAATGAAATGCATTAACTCATACGGAGGGTTGGGGATTGAAAGAAAAAAAAGAAACTCGTTGGGAGATTGAGAAACGTGCCACGGTCCGGTTCCGTTCGATCGTCTCGATTTCGAATATGCTGACAATGAATTTTGGAATTTTTGCCGAACCACGCGGCAAGTGGAAATATTTGTTGAAAAGTGGACAAAATTTTTTCGAATAATTTATACTGCTTGATTTAGGCTTTTAGACCATAATTGTCGATTTCAGACGCAACAATTTTCAGAAAAGCAGAAGGGGAAAAAAGAAATTTAATTCAACACAGTTG